TTGAAGCCTTCTTGCTAAAACGTGTTTTTTTCCTCCAGCATCTTAAATAAAGACAGAAACCAGAGCAGCACATGTTTGCTGAGGACACGGTGTCCACTGGAAGAACAAAACACAAGTCAAAAACCACACACACACACACACACACACACACACACACACACACACACATTCACTAATCTGCTGAACATGCAGGTCCTCATCATCAACCTTTATTTAACCAGGATAAAAAACTCCTTGAGATTAAAAACCTCTTTTCCTAGAGTGTCCTGGTGTTCTGACCCAGAGAAGTCTACTGAGCTTTTCTCTCTCTGCTTTCAGAAGCCACAGACCATGGATCAAGTCAACATGACAAGTGAGTCGACCTTCTCTCCCCAGATAACCTGTGTCCAATCACCAGCTGAACGTGAGCTGTAACACTCTGTGTTTTGTTTGCGTGTTGTGCCGGTCGTCAGGGGCAACGGTGGCGTCGCAGCGACGCAGAAGGAGAAGGTGAAGGCCAAAGATGAGACGTACTGGAAGGAGATCAACGCCGCCATGGCCTTGACCAACTTGGCTCAGGGGAAGGACAGCGTCTCCGGGACAACCAGCTGCATCATCCAGAAGTCCTCCCATATAGCCGAGGTGAAGACTGTTAAAAAACCTTCAGCTGCTGCTGCTGAAGTTTTAGCTCTGACGTTATCTGTCTACGCAAAGCAGCAAACGTTCCTCTCTCAGCAAACAGAGGCCAAATAAACTCGCCCTGACAGAGGAACAACTTGTGCTGGAGGAGAAGAAAGGTGTTTCAAGTTGAAAAACGTCAGTATTTGCTCTTATTGAAAATGTCTATACGATTTCTTGACCATCCTTTTCTTAAAATTAGAAACTTTTGTAATGTTATTTTTTTATTACTCTTTTTTTATTTCTATTTTTACTGGTACAAATTTTGTATTCTCCACAGTGCCTTTGTTTGTTTTAGCAGATCAGCTCTCTGATTGTCCAGATCTACAACAAAAGTCAGCAACAGTGAAGCTTCACTGTAACCTTGACTTTGCTCCTTAGACCAGGTGTTTATATGAACCACTATAGCCTTAAGCATATATGATTGTTGCCTGGATGTGTCAACTGGTTCTGTTTTGGATCAAAACAGTTTTTTTTTTTTCCCTCATTCATCCAGGTTCTGTTCATGTGGGTCATAATGGACATAAGTTCAGAAGTATCGCCGTCTTATATTTTCTGACACTCAAACTGTTGTGACCTCGAGAAAGAACTGAGTTGCACCGTTTCACAGTTTCTGGTGTTGGATGTTTCAAAGAGTTCCTGGTTGGGAATGTATTTAACGAAATGATGAAGGAAAGTCAAATTAATGAGAGACAAAGTTACATTACTTCATCTGGTGGGATAATAGAAGAACCACAATCTGTCTGTAATATTTTACAGCCAGTCAACAGAACCTTGTTAGAGTCGACAGTACAGTAAATAAGTCAGGGAGGAGGTGAAATGAGGACAAACAGTGAAGCTCATTCCAATCATTTTGTAAATTAAAAGGTTCTGCATCAATGAAATGAAGTCATCCTCTGTGATCCTGAACAGAACTGATGCTTTAACAGGGAGAACCTTGTTCCCCTGACAACAGAGGAGTCATTATGCATGTTGTTGCATCACGCAGTATATCAGGACAAAAAGGGATGAAACAGAAACAAGATGACTTTGTTGTATTTATATCAAAGCAATGGAAGTGGTAACCACCAGTTTTTATTATTTACTAATATATTTGCTTATTCAGGTGAAGACTGGATGTTCAATCCAATGACCATGTATGTATCTCCTTGAGTTCTCAGATTTGTTCTCATGTAAAATTTATTTTATACATTGGTTTGTAAAAACAATGAATAAACCTCTGAATGGAACGAGTCATATCTGTTTTTATACACTGAGACTAACAATGACAGAACAACCCACTGCACAAAACACAGCAAAGCATTTGCAACTGAGCATCACCAGAAAGTTTCATAAACTCTCAGATTTTATTTCACATTTCATAATAGAAAGACTGACAAATAATTGTCTTTTGATCTGAGATTAAAGTTGGCAGAAATATTTTGTTGAATTATGGGTTTGACATTAATATAGCATTAATAGAAAAAAAAAAAAAAACTTCAGGAATGATTCCGAGCCGTTCTAAAAGTTGCAGGACAGTAGCTCTCAAGGATTGGACTGAAGCATCCCTGTTGTAAAATAATGAGGCTGAAGCTGATCTGCAGACTCTGAAGCTCTCCAGAGCATTCCTCTGACCTGTATCAATCAATTGGCAGTAGCAGGTCTTCCAGTCATCTGATGCTGGATAAATGATGGTGCCTTGGGGAGGTTTAAATGGCTCTAACTGGAAAAATTCACCTCTCCTTTGTCCATTTCTTGCTCCTCCTGTCAAGGCCTAGATGACCATAACATGAACATGGAACCATTCTACTCAGGGATCCCTGGAAACATATCACAACCTGACATGTTTTTCTACTCCTTTAGCTACCCTGATGAGGCTCTAATTGTCTTTTGGCCCTTTGCTTTGAACACTTGTCATTCTTCAGACCCATCCACGTCAGGATGGAGAGAAACAGGAACAGACTGAATCATAAAACTGATGTTAAGTTTTATTGCAAAGAGCTTTGAACTGATTGGCTCTTTCAGAAAGGTCTTGCAGGTCATTTACCTGTCGGTCCTTCACCTCCTGACCTTGTTGTTGTCAGAGGAACTTTAACAACATCCAGCTGAGAGCCGAACACCTCCACCCATGTTGCTCCTCGGTTGGATGGACAGGCTTGTTTTGGAAAAGTGAGGAAGAAAAACAGTTTCCTCTGTGTTCCCCTTGTCCCATCTATCCATCCACCACCTGGAGCTATTTTCTCTTTAAATACTGATCAGACCTTGTGTTTCACACATCAAGGTTAAGCAGGAACAGATGGGGTGTCTCCAAAAGATGTTTTGTCTCAGTTAGGACCAGAGAACTCCGAAGTCTAGTTAAAAATTAAAAACAAAAACAAAATTCCCCACTAGATGGCAGCAGGTTCATTTGTTTCTAAGACTTATATTTCAAGAAGGTGGAATACCCTTTTCCAATGTACATACCATTCCTTTATACCACATGGCAGAGTGACTTTACTTCCCCAGTGACCATCTGATCCTGTGTGATCTGAGCAGACACCGTTGGAGCGTGATGAGGGTGGAGAATGTTTCTCTAAGCCCGTCCATCATGAGCCTGTTGGGTCTTGTTAAAAGTCCCAGGTGTTCCTGAACCGGCACCATTCCTCCTGACCTTCAGAAATGACAAATCCTTCCTCAGACTTGAGATTATGTGGTCAAACTAAAAGTGACCAACTGATATTAGAGGGCTGTTAAACTGCTCCACTCTTCATGTCCTCTGTCCTTTGTCTTTCTCCAAGTCTGTCCTTCCAATCACCAAGTTTACAACAGAACGGTGCGGAGTCTCTCTGGGGAACACTGAACTGATTTAACATGGATCGGGTCTCTTGGCAGCAGCTCAGTGGCTGTCAGGTTTGGTCCTCTGTTCAGGATGTCGTAGTCGTGGCTTGAGGCACCGCTGCCCTGCTCTCTGGTTTCATCAGGTTTTCCGTTTTTACTTCAGGCTCAGGCAAAGCTGTTTGAAATACCCGAGAAATCTGGACCACAAACTAGTGTTGCCATGAAGTAGAAGCTGGATTTGGACTCTGATCTCCTCATGTTGGAAAATCGATTGTCACTTCAGATCTGTTTGATGATTCCACCATACTTCACTCATCTCAGTAGACATGATGATGTGCTGTTATTAAATTGGTCACTTGCTTGATCCAACATGTTTGGCACTGGATTTAACAGAATCTTTTTCCACAGTTCTTGTTGACCTACTGGATCAGTAAGCTGCATGATGAAAAGAGCCAAATAACTTTCTATTTCGCTTTTCATATAATTTTCTTTGCTGGTTATATAACTGAAGACGGCTTCGGCAACTTAAAAAAGAAACATTAGGAAAAAACAAAACAACAAATTCTCAAAAAGTCTTACCCATTGAGATGTTGTTTCATGATAAAAGGCAGAGCATGATCTGTTAGTAATATTTCATTGTGTCCACAGACAACCATTTCTGTTCTAAGAAAGATCAGTTGTTTCCATCCATCTCTTCCTGTTTCTGAGCTCTCCTTCACTTGATCATCATTTATATTGTCTTCTGTTTAAACTAGGAATGGGTGAGAAAGGAAATTAACAGGTTTTTGAAGTTATGACAAACTTTCCCCATGCCAAGACTTTCAGTGTTTTACAAAACTAAAGAGCTGTTTTTGTCTTTGTTTTGTCTGTAGGATATGCTCATGTCCCTTCTAGGATGCTGTGCTAGGTGTAGTCATGTGACTCCACCCCATCAAGTCTGCAACAATTTACAAGAAGTGAAAAGATGTAATTATATATATATATATATATATATATATATATATATATATATATATATATATATATATATATATATATATATATATGTTGTATAACAGTATTCAATTCATAAAATTTTTTTGTCATGTGGTCTACACTCCTTAATGGTTGGTGGCAGTAATGATTCTTTCAGTTGTTTGCCAACAGCCAATAACAATCAAGTAGAAGAAGTAGAAGAAGAGACGGTGAGGTTTGCAAACAGCAAATCAGTTTAATGGCTCCTTTCAGAAGCAATTAAAAACCTGGACATTTGGTCAGCCAACAGAAGGAAATATTATGATATAAATACGTGACATGAGTTTTAATGTGAAAAGTAAGTGCATAGAAAGCGTGGGGTAAATTCACCAGACGAGCCACCAGGAGATGAGCTCTACAACATGGGAGGTCTCCAAGCTGCAGCCACGTCGTCTCGGTTGAGAAGGACGAAGAGCAGCTCATTCCCCCAGAAATATATCTTCAATTGTTTGGCAACATCTTGGGTTCAGCAAGGATGTTGGAAATTATTGTATACTTCAAAACATATTCAGTTGCAAATATTTGTTCAATAACTCTTAACTGAAAAATTTGATTTTGTTTTAGTTGCAGATGCTGCTATTTTAAAGTGGCAGTAAAATTAACATCAAAAACAAAACAAAACAAAACAAAAAACAGTCCAGTCCAGGGGAATCAATATCATTGGCTATGAAGAATTTATGCTGATGTATCATATTCTTTATTTTAAGGGGCTGAGGGGGCAGCTAATGTTATCGATTTATTATTGAGGTTAACTGCTCAATAATATATATTTTAGGCCATATTGCCCAGCCCTAGTTTCCACATCTGTCTGATTTTTCTCAGGTTTGTTGCATTTCCTTCCTTCTCCTCAGTAGATAAGGTTCTCCTTGTTTCTGATGGACTCTGAAGGAAGTGTGTGAAGCTGAATGTGTGTTTGGGTTCAGGCGAGGTGTGGTTGGCTCATGTTCACAGCAGGATGTTCTGCAGCTTTGGGGAAAACCTATTGGACCGTAAACACCCAGAGTGTGAATGTGTCGAACACTCAGTCAGTCAGTCAGCGGCTGGCGGAGCTACAAACACATGCACGTGTCTGTTAGATATGATAGATATTCATCTCCATGGTGACAGGCTGTTGTAGCACACATGTATGTAGATGAAGTATTTGACGAGCTGCCTCTAGAGTCCATAAAGGCCGTCTTCAGGTCCAGCCGCTCTGTGGGGTTTCTGTTCAGCAACTCACCACTCTGACATGCTGCTGCCATTTTCCACAGCCTGAGGGGAACCACCGGACCGGACCGGACCGGACCATGAGTCAGGTATGGACCTTTCAGCAAGGAACTCATTCAGTAACAGAGTTTGCTTCAGAAACACGCAGCTGTATAATTAGAATATCATCACTTTCCTAAAACAACTCACCCCCTTTTTATTGCAAAAAAATCACTTTTGGCAAAAGATGACTTGGGTCATTATTTCAGGAAGGTGACGACATGTAGAAGTTCTGCTTCTTGCTTTAGTTTGCCTGTTACCAGAGCACAAACAACCAAAATAAAAGTGTGTCTTGAACTGAGACCTGAATTCATCTTTATAGTAAACTTTAACCGGGTCTCATTCAACTACGCTTAGAGACGAAGACAATTCATTTCAAGGTCGAGAAGAATCAGTCTTATTTTCCTTCAGTTGATTTTCTTAACACTGGGCCATCTGACTGTGGTTGAAAAAGAACCCAGAGTCTGTTTTCAGTGTTGAGTTGAGTAAATGAGAAACAAACCGCTGCAAATTTACAGTTTAACAACACAAAGCAACTTTTTCTCCTCCTTGGAGACGTGTGGATGGGAGCATGATGTCAGAACTTATCAAGCTTGTCATCAGTGAAGCAGCTGCCAGAAGGGACACAGCAGCTCTGCTCTGATGGATGAAGTGTGTGTTGCTGCCTCCAGACTTTAACAAAGTTATTGAAGCTTCATCACTGCAGAAATTTTTGGCTATAAAGTAGAACTCCAGAGAACCAGTTAGGATTACAGACATTTACTGGCATTGTCTCAGAGTTCAGCAAATATGAAACAATATTCTGAACAGAATCTGAAGATAAGGAAAGAAATTGTACTGAAATCAGAAATGTTGGCATTTGTTTCTGGTAGATCATAGGCAAGTTGTACATAGAGCTCCAAATGCAAAGAGAAGAAAAACTATTGAAACCGGCGTCAAAGGGTTTCATCAGCTGATCAAAGATTTAACACTATAGTTGTGAAAAGTTTAAATCTGACTTTCAGTTTAATTTGCCAGATATTCATGCTGCGTTTCTGTTCTTAAGCTGCACAAGAGAGACCTCTCACACCACTCCAGCACTGCAAAGGTTGGACGCAGTCCATTAAATTCCATAAAACTATTTTATGTCCTGCACCGACATGGATAATCTGACGGAGTGAAGGCCAGATCCTCA